TATTTGCGGTGGACCTGCTACAAGCATGCGTCACGTGAGATGTCAATTGCAAAGGAGTTCCATAAGTGTTTTATGTAAAAAATTATTTTCAGTATATTTTTTTGTGAATTTTTGAAATATTTTTATAGATGATATTCTGCTATTCTGGACGAAGGCAATTCAAACAAATCAGAGGTCATCACAATCAGTCCAGCCGTCCTTCAGTTATAAACGTAAATGTATCTAATCTTTATTTTATTTTAAATATTTTGTTGTCCTGCAGCTATATACCGGGTGCGTCTTAAAAGTGGCTCACTCCTATAACTTTTTTATTTTTTTAGATGAAAAATCAAGATTTGGTATGTTAGTACATGACATAAATTAGGAATGATTGGCGTATTCAATTGTTTTTGGTCACTTCGTGTTTCACCGGAAATGACTAGAACTTTTGATTTTTAAATGGCACCCTTGGTATTTTTTTACTTTATTAAATAGAAAATGACATATCATACATAACCTTTTGACATTCTTGCTTAATAAAAAATCGAATTTTTAATTTCAATCTAGAGTTCCATCGCTATGTTAAAAACACTAATTCTTAATCAAGAAGCCTTTGAAAAATAGATTCGATCGTCTAATATTTTTAAGGTCTTGTCTTGGCCGGTTAAACGATGCCCAAATCGTATTTTTAATCATATTTCAATTTTTTCAAATGGAACAATGGTGGCTAATTAGCATATACGGACAAAGCATTATTTTACGAATAATTTTATACCACACACTTGGTATTTCGAGTCAAATTTTCGTTACGAGCCGCAAGTTATAATTTCAAATAAACCATATGCGAAAATGTCAAATGTTTACATGATATATCATTCTATTCAGAGTGTTATTTTCTATCAAATAAAGTAAAAAAAAACCGAGGGCGCCATTTAAAAATCAAAAGTTTTAGTCATTTCCTGTGAAACAGAAAGTGACCGAAAACAATTATTGAATACGTCATGATGCAAATGATATGCAAATAATAAACATCTACCTTTGATATGGTTTGCTTTATAATAAACGTATCTATATTTTGGTTAGTTTCCTACAGCATAAAAACCATAGAATAATATATCAAATATAAATATACAAACGGTATAATAATTAACATTGAAATCGAACTCATTTGAAAATAATTAATCATATGTTCTTTCTGGCTTTATGCATTTCGACCAAATATATAATTTTCTTCCATATTCAGTGCGTTCTGCGCCTGACGTATGAATAATCGCGTATACAAACGAAATATGAATATTCAATTAAATTACGCGTCATCGTTCGTTAGAGTTCAGCGTTTCACTCGCACTATTCGAACACATCAAATGAGATTTATTTATCAATAGAGATGGATGAACCTCTCGATTTGCCTTCTGTTTAGTTGCGATAGGATTTTGTAAGATACTGCAAATAACTACTCATTAGAATGTATATCTTGAATTAGTAGATTAGATAGGACCGATAGATAATTTAAAAAAAATGTTTCTATATTGTCAACTATTGTGTTTGTATATCTGTATTTAAAGATTTACGATTGAAAATATATTTTCTCTGTTTCCTGTATTCTCTCTCTCTGTCATTATTCCTACAAGAGGAATGTAGTGGTCAGGTGATGTGTGAGGTTTGTCTCCATAATTCCCTGTCTTGTGCTTCATGTACAAGCGTGTGCAGTGGCTTGTGGGTGATCTTTGATAGCTGGTTTATCCATCGGGAGGGCGAGCGGCCTCTTGGTCTTCTTCCCGGAACCTTGCCCTGTATAATGAGTTTTTCCATACAATCAGCATCCCTGCTCATAACGTGACCGAAATATTTAAGTATACGTGACTGTATAGAAGTTGAGAGGCGCTCTGTGATGTTCAGTTCTTGGATTATGGATTCATTGGTTCGCCGGGCAGTCCAGAGAATTCTGAGCATTCGTCGCCAACAGTACATCTCAGTTGCGTCAATTTTTGTCATTTCTGAATATCTCATCGTCCAGGACTCGGAGCCATACATTAATATAGGAAATATTAGGCAGTGAACAAGCCTTTTCTTAAGTGTTTAGATATATTTTTGTCTCGCCATATCTTTGAGAGTTTTCGCACTGCCACTCTTGTCATTTCACATCTTCTTATTTCCCCTTCTAACGATCCCGTATTGTTTATAAGTGACCCAAGATATATATATATATATATATTGACTTACAACCTCACTACATCAGGTTTGTTGTTGTTTTGCCTATCGATAATCATAATTTTTGTTTTAGAGGGATTAATTTCAAGTCCAAGTTTCTCGCTTTCGTCTTCAACCAATTTTAGAAGCTGCAGTAACTCTTCCTCGTTTCCCGCTAGAAGGACCGTATCGTCTGCAAATCTGAGGTTGGTAATTTTGTGACCATTAATTGTTGTTCCTTTATTAGGTAGGTCTTTTTTAAATGCCTTTGTACTTTATTAATTTTATTGATTTGTAATATCCAACATGTATATTTGTATATATCGTAAACTTAAACACATAATAGATAAAACTTCCACGACACTTATCGCGAAATGGGCCGAAGTAAGTCAAAGTCGAATGGTAAAAAGGGTTATTTCTAGTGATGGGATAACTCGAGCGAAAATTCGAGAAGAAAAAAAGTTGAGTTTTTATATTATCGCAATTACTGACGTTTTCTCGTTATAAAAATAATGACACCCTAACAATATCCTGATAATTCCATTTCAGATGCTCAGAAACATGTCTAATAAATTTATCTAGTTATCTCTTGAAAAAGAAGTCTTTTAAAAATAAGCGGTTTGTGATCGTGATTGTACTTTACTTGATAGGGAAAGGCGTATCGGCAACGCCGCAACAGTACACCGTCGCGCGTCGCGTCGGTCGGTCGCATTTCTCTCACTCCGACTTAATAAGATCCCTATGCGACTTGTACCACACATGTAAATGCCGACCCAAAAGTAACCGTTGCCAGCACGGTATATAGAAAGTTTAAGATTTTTGGTTTTATATCATTTACTTAATAGTACTCAGGAGAGCTGATAATAATTAACAATTATTATTATCGTTAAAACTTTTTAAGTTTGACTTTTGCTATATTATGTTAAAATAAAACAACGGTTTATGATAGACATATATCTTAGCGTTAAAAACTAAAGTGTTTTTTTAATAGTTGTATATAGACGGGAGAATATATACCTTCTGAAAAGTTAAGCATATTTTTGTCTGTGAGACAAAATTTATATACCAGTAAAAAGCCACTGATAAACTAGTTTCCGTTTGGACTCAAAAATAACTATTTTATTTGACTTGAGATTTTTTTCGTGGCAAAAAAAAACATTTTAGAGAAATGAACCCGTCACAAAATTATAAGCATTATTTAGAATTGAAATAACTGAATTTTGTTGAAAATGGTTATATTATAAAAAAAATATAACAAAATTATAAACATAGCTTCATATTTTTTTCTGATAGTATATTTTGTTTCGGCTTCCTGAAAGTTTAAAAAGGGATTATTGAATAATATAAAATAAAAGCTCATAGAGTGATATAAAACCGGTTTTGAATAATTTGGTGGTATATTCAAAGGAACTAATAATTTAGTAGTAGACACCGGAAATTGTGAAATGGATAAAACACTTTTTAAATTTTTGGCAATATTTTTCACGTACATAAAATTCACTAAACCGGTAAAAATTGGTTAGTTCCTTTTATAAGCTGCCTTTTGTGTAAATAATAGTAAATTTTGAATTGAATAAAATTATTCTAAAAAATAACAATACCCTTTCAATAAATAAAATAATACCAATATCTATATTTTTGTAAATACCAACATAATATGACAGGTTTGGTTATCTATAGGTAATATAAAATATCGATTTGCAAAAAAGAAGTCTATAGAAGTATTTCTAATAATCTACTGATGATGGTAATATGAAAACTCAAAACGTGCTACCGCAGTACAAAAAAAAGTTTGTTGATGTTTTGTAGTACAACTGTGTACATTTATTAATGAAACAGGATAACATATACGATCAAATGAAAAGTAAATTATAGAACATAGGTATACAGATTAAATATTTTTTGACATATATTTATGATAGGTAACTCATAATCTACACACTGAGTCATCATAGTTTCATCAAGCGAGATTAGAGATAATAATGATTTCTGCAATTTCTTAATCAACTTAGCTGTTTCCTAAAAATATGAAAGGAATTTACTCATTATTACTCTCGTTACTTACTCATCATAGTAGAGTAAAAACTTAAATTTTCCAAAAAATCCTCTATCTATTTTTTCTTTATTCTTTGTATTTTTTGCTTCCCACGACGGAAAGAGATAAACTTTCCGAAACGTTAAGTATTTTTTTATTCGTTAGGCAAATTTGTCGAACTGTAAACATAACTTCTGACAAGTAGTTTCCGTTTGGGATTAACGCAGAAGTGTTTAAAAAAAAATAACTATTTTATTTTGTAGATTTTCTTGCAGTGGCGAAATATCTATAGGTATTCTATAGGATTTTTTGGAGAGATGAATCCGCCACATAGATATAGACATGTTTTACCTAAATTTTATCAATGTCAATATATGTAAATGTTTTACTTATTTATAGTAAACGATGTTTAAAATATATATTTTTCCTAATTTTAAAATAACTTGCTTGCTTAAGCATTTTTTTCTTTGTTAAGCAAATTTTTATTACTGTAAACACAACTTCTTCGTTTAGGTTTAACGCAGAAGTGTTTACAAAAAATAACTATTTTATTTTATAGATTTTTCTTGCAGTGCAGTGGCGAAATACCCATAAAGGATTTGTTTGGAAAGATATTATGTTATATAGCTAATATCTCACACCACACCCATTTATCAATTCTTTTGTGACACTTTCACAAATTTACCATGCTTTTATACAAATAATTTTCTGATATTTACGGAAAAGTTCGTTTTTAAATGAATGAACAATGTCACGTACTAATAATATCTCTAAAACAATTTGTGAATTTACTTACCCACGCAATAACGTTTGTGAACAGAATTAAGTATTTGATAACCGCGATTTGATTTTCGAGTTTCATTATGCTTCCTTCACCTTCACCATCACCTTTACCGGCCATTTTGACACCCCGAAAATAAAAACACTAATTAAAAAAAGGCACAAAATAACTAAAACAGAGCCTTCTGCGTCAAAAGCGAAACTATGTCACTTTATCTTGAACTAGTCTGTGTCGAAAACTCAAGTGCGCTATTACCAAACCCTGAAAATTCTTAAAACTCTTAGAATGAGGTACGTCCTGCATTATTTTAACGGTAAATTGTCTATTCTAAGCGGTCTGCAATAAAGATTATTAGCGTTTATTTCGAGAATACATCCGAAGATAAGATAAGGTAGAATTATCGTTATCTGAAGATAATTATGTTAGTCATTCACCTGCTTTAGATATATACTAGAAATAATGGTGTGTAATACAGGATAAAAATATTTTTATTACACTTTTGTTGATTCTTAGAGTAGATTTGACCCAATACATCCAATATATAGTGTATTTTATTTATCATTTTGGTATCATTTATCATTTTTTTGTAGTTAACAAGCACCATTTTGCATAGAAGGTGTGTTAAGCTTCATAATATGTCTCAACTCTAATTTCCAAAAAAATAGTAATTAAAAAATTAACTTTTCAATTCTAGGATAGTGTAGGAGATAAGTGTAAGATAATTGACAGGAGAAATACTGGTAAATCATGTTTGAGAAAATTAGCTATACTTGTAGCATATAATCACGTATAATAGAAAAACCCAAAAGTATATTTTGCTTATTATGCACACAAACCTTACATTCTGTTATGTACACACACCATACATGAACTTTTTATACAGGGTTGTGCGAGTAGAGCATCCCATCAGACTATTAAAAAATATATCATTAGAAAAACTCGCCAGAAACTGGCAATAAAAAAAATTGCAGATAATAATAAGTAAAAAATATTGTATACATTTTTGTTTTAAAATGCTTCTTTTCAGAGTTACAGGGTGTATTTAATTTTTATTTTAGTTTTTTCCAAATAATTTCTGAACTAACGTCGATTTTTGGATTTAAATTGATATGTCTGCGTTTTTCTTAAAATAAGAAATTCGGTTTCAATATTATTATGACCAGTACTTGTAGAGGACAACACTTACATGTTTTAACTCTTTTGAAGAGCAATAACTTTTCGTCTGTATCTCTATTAAGCTGCTGATATAGATATTATTTTTTTATTCCCTTTTGGGCGTAAAAAACTGCAGAACTGTGTATTTTTTGTCTTAGTAGGGGCGTTAAGGTGTAATACAGGCACGGACGAGAAGTTATTACTCTGCAAAACAGTTAAAAATATATACATATACAGGGTGTCATAGAAATAAGTATTTTAAGGGGTGGTAGATCTCGATAAAAGAAACATATTTTCTCTTTATTATTTTTCAAATAAGTCCAAAATAACGGAGTTATTAAATTTCCAAAAAAAAAAAATGATTTTTTGCTAAAATTTTGAGATCCACTGGATCTTTTCTGGATTTTCTTTCTTGTAAATTTAATTTAATACTTATGTTGCCATATTATCAAGAAATTATGTTTTTTAACTAAAAACTAAACAAATTTCAAAAAAAAATTTCAAAGATTTTCGAATTTTCAATTTTTTTTCCCCGAAAAAAAACTCATAGGCTTGTTTCTGGGGCTGAACTATACTACCAGTTAAAATATTTGCACTTATTTCTGGGACACCCTGTATAAGTGGCGCCTATTAGGAGTCTTACTAATAACATAGAATTTCTTATGCAAACAAATATTCAATTAACAATTTTTATCCAAATATCCATTTTCGTTCAGAAAATGTTTGGAAAAATCCCTTTTAAAAACCCCTTAGAACAAAAATGCATGCAAACTTTTTTAATTATTTTTATCAGTTGTAGAAGTTTTCTGATTACAATTCTGGCCACACAATAAGACAGTAACGATCTACAGCAATTTTAGCATTGATTTTGGTTCCTCATCAACACACTTATAAATAGTGTTTACGGTTTTCTAATGTCACTCTCATTGAAAAGTCATATTATTATTGTTTATGGACGTTTACTCTAGTAGAGATAGTTTTAAGTAGGTACTGGAATATCGGCTATAGCTGCTTTAATTGATCATGGTAAAAATAAAATTTTGGACTTAAAACCATATCTGCTAGAGTAACTGCACAACAGACAATAATAATACGATTTTTCAAAGGCAGTGGCATTCATTAAATCACAAACACTATTTTAGTAAAGGCATGGTTTTAATATAAAAAATAAGAAAAAATTTTAGTGTCGTCTTCAAAAGCGAATATCTCCAAAATTCAGCTATTGAGATAAATCAACAAAGTATCGAGAAAAGATACATCTATATGATTAAATAATTTTTACATTACATGCTTTGTTGACTCACTCCACAGGGTGTTGCAAACTTTCACCAAAGTATCAACATTTTGTTTTCTTTCGTATGAATGACAGATGGGACTTTCAATTTTAATTTAGAAAGACATACTAAAAAGTAAAATAATTTAGCTACAAGTTGCTTAAAAATCATCAAAATGGGTCCACTAGTACACAATATATAAAACTTTAAAATACGAGAAAATTTTAAGGTGCCCGTTTCTCGTGTCGCTGAGTGTAATTACAATAAATGAAAACACTCATTTTTAACCAATAAGTTACTTTTTTATATTAATTATATATTAGCTGGAAATAGTTCCAGAGAAACAGTTTTTTTATTATTAATTTATATTTAAAAAATGTATAGGAATGCGGGTAAGTAAATACAAATTCCCGTCATTTTTTAAATTATCTATTATCTATGAAAAATTAGATGCAAATATAAAATATAAAAAATTTTTGGTCTTGGTCTTGGTCTTTGGACAAAGACCAATACAAAAAAAGGCTTCCTTTCAGATCACTCTACATAATCCTAAGATATGAGTAGATATATTTCGATAGTTTCGGAGATATTAATAAATAAATAGAAATATATTCCTTTCAGCCTTAAAAATATTAAAAATACAAGAACTGTCCTGAAATCAAACTACATTATGTATTTACGTTAGATGGCTGTACTTACTTTGCTATAAATACCTTTTTTTTTTAATTTTTAAATTTCTTGTTTTTTTTTTAAATGGAACACCCGGTATATTATTTTTTTTTTGTAAATGGAGAATTAAAAAATGAACATTTTTTGTATTTAGAGTATTTCATTTTTTTTCTTTTTTCTTTTTGCTTTTTATAATAAGAGTAACACATTTTCGTCCGTACTTGTATAACACCTACTGAGCGAAAATATACACATATACGTAATTTTTTACGCCAAAAAAGTTTTCTTGGTAAAAATTGCTACGAGCAACCTTTATCGGCAAAAATAAAATAAACACAATGATTAGATAGTTATATGTTATATTAGATGTATACTAGAGTTGTATAGTTATTTTTTGTAAATTAATTATTTTATACATTGATCATTAAGTTTTACCAGAAAAATTACTGCGTAATAATACTGCGGAAATGTATATTTTTGCACTCGATGCTGGCTCTAGTTGCAAAAACGTTACAACAATTACAGGAAATGTAAATAAAAGAATATATAAAAAATGCTGGTCTTGGTCTTGGTTCATTCTTGCACGGTAGGTCATGATTTTTGGTGCAAGACCAAGACCAAAACTGCAAATTCAAGACCAGTCTCGCTCATGACTAGTTCTGTGTGACCGTTAAAACTTAAATTTATGTGTTCATTTGCACTTATCAAAGAACAGCTAATAGACGTTGAGTTGATTAAAAAAAATAGTCTTCTTTGATTCAGTAATTATCCGCCGTTCCGGATAAATTCGTTATCGACGCAAACTTTAAATGATCGTAATTTGATCGATGGTCTCGGATAACTGTTTTACCTTCTGAGCGAAGCAGAGAGGCGGCAAGTTGCCTCTATTAAGCTAATAATAAAGCCCGGTATGATTGCACGGCAGCGGATTTCCCCGAGGGCGCGGTACAGGAGCAAAGTTTGAATTTCTCGATGGCGCACAGAAGCAATAACTGTGTGGTAATTTGTTGCACCAAGAAATCCGATGCCGTATCGAGCCAAATTATTAGACGAAGTTTAGTACGGAGCTCTGCTAGTCCTCCTTACAAACGTAAGTACAACTCTGTATTAGTAATGCTGCCGGCGTCCTTTGATCAAGACCTAATTACAAGATATATATCGGAATACGTGCATTTATTCAGTATACTTATAGGTCATACAGGGTGGCGCCGCCTCTCGTACGACGCGGAGACTCCAAGGAGAACGGTAGTTTATATTGAAATAAACTTTTATTAGCATATGTAGGTTATCTGAAAGCATTTTATAAAAATACTAGCGTGTAACCGCGCGACTTCGTTCACGTCGAATTAATCATTTGTAATGGGATGATAAAGCAAAGCAAGAATTTCCGTTAACATACAAACTGGATAAAATTTTCTCACATTTATGTCAGCATGAGAAAAAACAACCCACAGAAAATCAGTTTGCCAAAAATTAAAGCTTTAAACGTCAAGCAGTTTAAGCAGAATCGTGATTACTCAATGGTCATATTTTATGAAACACCCTGTATAAATTTAAAAAAAAATCTTAAAATCTGTAAAACAACAAAATAAAAAATACGTGTTTAATAGTTTTTCCGAAAAACTCACCGGTTTTTAAATATAAAATATTCTAATATTTGAGGGGTGGTTTCACCCCCTTAGAATTCGAGTTTCGAAAAATCCATACTTATCGAACCTCTACACCCTAAAGTCAATCCGTTCTCCAAAAATCAGCTTTTTACGTCAAGCGCTTTAAGCAGGATCGTGATTAATCAATGACCAGATTGTTCGAAACACCCTGTATACATTTTTAAAAAATCTCAAAATATGTAAAAAAACGAAATAAAGTATACGTGTTTAAGCGTTTTTTCGGAAATTTTACCGTTTTTTAAATAAAAAATTGGCGCCTGGAGGCCCGTATAGCCGCCCATACTACGAGTAAAATATGTTAATATCTCGAAAACTGACTTTGAACTGATTTTGATGTTATTACAAATTTAGTTGCAAATATTATTCCTAATCTTAATTTGAAAACCGCGTTTCGCTAGCTACTGTAATTTTGGAGTTACGATTTTTTAAAATTTTTAACCCCCTCCCATACCCCCTTTCCAACAGACGGACAGACGGACAGACGGACAGACGGACAGACGGACAGACG